TTTTTTTTTTTTTACTTGTTTTCTAGAAAGCTGCCAAATATGTTGTTAGTTATTTATGAGTGATGTGTGTATTGCCAAAAGCATAAGTGTTGAGAGTTAATAAATGATAGTAGTTTTTTATAACGTTGATGATGATGATTGTCGTGGAAGATGCTAGAAAGCTGATGAATTTAGTAACCTGAAGTCGATAAAGTGATGAGCAAAACTTCTCCTTAACTCGATGCTAGTGCAATACCCAACGGGAAGATATACGTTATAGATTTCAATTGCAACAGAACTTGAAGCACTTTATTGGGTACGCCAAATAGAATAGAGGAAATGTGCGATTCTGCAACAGTGACTGAAATAGACTTCTGATGACCGACTAATTAATTAACTGTTTACTGTTCAAAAAAAAAAAAACAGTAGAAAGGTGTTTTAAAGTTGTTTTGCTTGCCCTCTTCTGTTACACTGCTTTTGGTCTTGACGGACGCTAAACTGGAAGGAAAGGGCGGAAGATGGAGGTGGTAATGGGGAAAGATGTGGAAAAATTACTGGTTATCAAACTGTTCTGCATATTTTTTAAAGAAATTATTAGCTATTGATAAATCTAAAATTGGATATTTTTGGTTAGAAACAAAAAATGGTGGCTTGAGCAGCAACTGTAGTTGTGCTGCTGAGGAAACGTTGAGAGACGGTGACTGAAGTATCTTTGAAAGTTATAAGGTTTTTACTAAAATCCTAGTTAATATTCAATTTCTGCATTTAAATAATAGGTCGTCTCTTTTTTTTTTTTCCAGTTTACCTATTCTGTTTAATTCATTTGAGATGTCCCCATTGATTTTTTTTTTTTTTCTGCTGCATACAGTCAAATATCTGTGTGTCTACAATTTTTCGTCTATTTTATTTCATGATTCTTCTAGTGCTTAAGAAGGAAAAAGCAAGGGATTTTTGAGGCAGAAGGAAAAACTCCAGTGTTTTTTTTTAAACGTTGATACGAATTTTATGTCTTGATATGCTGCAGGTTTAAAATTTTGTTAACTTTTTTTTAATGTATTTATACCAAAATAATATAGGGAACTACTTTTCAGCGGCTTTACTTATAAGAAGTAACTAAAAGAAAGGAATTAAGCTTGATTGATCTATTACTGTTTTAATGCATTATCTTTCCACTATCATTTTTAAACGTACAGTTTGAGAAGTGTTGTTAAAGGTATACCCCAATTTTGTTGATTATTTCATTTTCTCCTTTTCCGTTTCGGCAATATCATTTATATGAAAACATCGACATAATATACGCATATTTTAGTTTATGGATATTATTATGAGCATTAGTTGCTGCTGCTGCAAAAAGAAAGAAGAAAAGCCTTGAAAAAAACGTTGCTTTTTTTTTTCACCTATCAAATAAAAGTATCTTTTCATGTTGAAAATTGTAAAACTGTAATTTGAGATAATTGACACATTGATGTTGTTGTTAATTGTCTATGTATAGCATTCGTTAACATCTGCGCAGCCTAAAAACATGTAGTAAATTTGAATTAGATTAAAATTAGGTTTTACTAGAATGCTAGTTCAATATCAACATAAATATTTCCTTCTAAGAGTTCATTTTTGTATAGATGATAGATATTTAATCGGTACAATGACCAAATACGCATCTCAGATGTGTTGTTGGTATGCTATAAGTTGGAGCAACAGAAATAAGAGATTAGGAGTAACCGAGTGGAGTTAGAAAGGGAATGAAGGCAAAGAAAGATTTTTAGCTGCTATCACTGTAATCGGAAGAAAGAAAGAAGTAAAAAGAGGCCATCAAATGAAAGCTGAAAGATGGGAAAAATGTAAAGGA